TTCAATGTTAACATTTAACATTGTCTGTTTACGATTTACCATTAACGACAGCTTATCGTTGCGGGTAAAAACGAAATAAAATTTATTTTGGTAACTGCTTTAACGGTAACATTTCCAAATGTTTCAACAGATTCGATTGAATTTTTTTGAATTACTTTAAATTTATCATTACGATGCAGCCTCGGTTAAAACTGTTGGACATGTTTTTCTTTATATACTTTCTTTATCACAATATGCATGCCAATATAACATATATATTCACTTGTCATAATATCGTTTTTAAATTTCCTGTTTCTTTTGTATTATTTTTTCATTCCTCTTCTCTTTGTAACTTTGATCGCAAACTGTTGAATATATATTTGAGCTCTGAACTAAGTCAAATTGTTTTACTTTATATAATATTTGGGAATTCTGCTACCATCGCATCAAAAACCCATCGACACAGAAATTTTCCTTCGAAACTAATCACTGAACTTGTTAGCTTAAATATTTATATGCATAAGACTTTAGATTATTATCTCGCAAAAATTGGCATTGCAATATGGAAAAGCATTATCCAATATGAGCATAAAAAGAGCTCCCAAATAAGTCAACAACGTGGGTATTGAGAAATATTTATTTGTATAGCCGAGTATATGTAATTATGAAATACTCTTTTTTGCATAACTTGAAAAGTTATGTCATTATTACCATAATTGCCATACCTTAAGTAAATAAAAGATATAACTTACCTATTGCTAAACCCAAATTGCCAAAAATTTTCTAATATATTAGGTGTAGTAAAAAGAAATCCATTATTTTTCCTATATATTGATTTGCATCTCGCGTTGTATAGTTCGATTGGATTCCGCTAGATGACGTTAGAAAAATGACATTTCGTACTCAATAAGTTTTTCCGACAAGTTGGCGACTGACAGATTCAGGGCTACAACGCACGCCAGGCAGTTGAAAATGTAATAGAGTTTATATTTTTGATACTGTTACGGGCAATCATGCACAATTTCGGTTTGATTCCAGTCTTTTGATGTAAGAAATACTTCACGGAGTGCAAAACCAATTGTCGGTAATGTCGATAAAAAAGGCAGTAAGTTTATTTTATATCAGGAGCTACATTTATATACATAATTTGCCTCATATCAGTCATTGTGTCATATATTTCCTCTCCGTTCAAGTAAAGCGAATCTTGTTATCTAAATTTTTCAAGAATCTAATTTTGATCGACTTGTATGAAATACCTGCTCATAGATTTTTTCGAAAACTTATCTAAGTGAAGTTGACTGTTGGATGTCATCCAGCTGCTGATTTTCATCGAATTCTTCTTTTTCTTCTATATATTTATCTCTATCACTTATTTTTCATTCTGCAAATTCATTTCGGCTTACCAGTCGACTTACAATTTTATATTAACACTTTTCAAAAGAGTTTGGGTTCTCAAACTTTGGTATCTTCTAAGCATACTTATCATGATGACAGAACCTTTTAGTGCTTAGATGAATATTTTCAAGGGGAGAAAGTTATGCAAGTAACAGATCATTCATTAATTTTGCATTAAATTAAACGCTTAATTTACCTTAATAAGAGTTATCGATTTATACCAAATATGCACTGCTCTGCTTAACACCTTTTTTCGATTGCCCCTGTAGGCAAAGCATTGAGGCAACCGATTTTCACTGGTCTCTCTTTAATTCAATTCTTCACACAGCCTTATCGTTTGACATAGAAGGAAGCTTATAGTAATCACTTGGGTTGAGGTCCAAGCTATAAGGTGGATGCATAGGAAGCTTTCAGCCATGCTCTCGGAAGTTCTGATGAGTCACTATCGATGTGTATATTCTGGCATTGTCCTTCCTGTTGGCCAAACCTGTGCGATTATTTCGTTCAGAAAATCAAATTATAGCCAATCCTATAAACGCATAACAATCCTTTCTGGTCATCAATCTTGTTGTGAAGACAAATTGTGCTCAGTTATTACGCTGCCGTTTGCGGTTCACGTTGCTGCAAGTGACCAACCTTTCATCACAAGTCACCATCCGCTTCCAAAATACAGCGATTCGTAGATGGAAACTTGATTAATGAGGTTTTTACGCAATAGCTCAAGTGCCACCTATATAAATACCCCGAGCCTATTCGTGTATCCAGGCTATTTCAATCAAGTGGCCAGACCCAATAAATTCCGTTTTTTTATCGACATTTTCTTAAATTGGCCTTTTTCACAGTGGAGAAAAATTATAGGAACGGAATCGACGACACCAAGATTGCGTGTGATCGGCTGTTACGATATCAGGATTATAAACGAAAGACGCAGATCGCTAACAGAATCTATTGCAAAAATAATAACTTCACATAATATATCGGTACCTAATATGATTTCTGTGCCGTGTTTGCGTGCTGGACTGATCAACCGATAAGTATTATGGTTGATTGTTGAGTTTTACGGTGCCGACGTTATCATTCCTTCTTTATACGAGTAGGCCACGCTTCCGGTAGTTAAGTTAGCTAACTACACCCTAAAAATACAGGTTGTTTTTTTATAAGTCAGCCTAACTGAGCTTTATAACTTTTCTCCCATTATAACATTGAAACCTACAACGACCACCATCGCTATCTGCACTTAGATAACCGTCCGCTTGGAACAGCGTCACATTCATTTTGTGGCCGTTCTTTTGGCAAGAAATAGATACTTAAGAACATTCCCATATTAATAGGCAATATTGGCGCCACAGAAGTGGTAGCTTTATTGTGTATCTTTGCAGTTTCTAAAAAAATAATTTTGTTGCACGCCTTAAATTAGTGGTACCAAGACCATGGGGTACACCACCTGTCAATATTTTAGCCATCATGGTTTCGTGATTCTTCAGTATGTGGTTTAAATAAGAAGCGCTTCGTATAATTTTCACTCAATTCTATGTAATGAAACTAAATTAAGTTGGCGGCCGTGGTAGCCGAGTGGTAAGCATGACGTGCTGGCATTCGGAAGGCTCAGATTCAAATCCTGGAGTTGGATGTTGGTGGACCAAAAGTAATGGAAAATTAATTTATATACGAAGTTAAGTATACTCTGTCGCCCATCCCTCCTTATAAAACACCATCAATCTTTCGGAAGCGGCTTAATGCAAACTGTTGGTCCCTGCATTTTTTGGAGGCGGCTTCCACCAAAACCACAAACAGAAGGAAAAGCTCGGTTAAGTTAAATTTCAGCACTAGTCCTACTACACGTAAACTCATTCAATTAAATTTTGTTGCCAAAAGGTCCAAAATCTATTTAGTATGTACCCTCATTCACGTACCGTCGATTAAATAAATGCCAAATGAAATCTACTTCTATTCATCAATTTCACAATACATACTTTCGTATTGCGAAATTTAATTTTGTCTTTTGTCAGATGGACTTTTGTTGGGCTTAAATGGAAAGTTTTTACTTTTTATCATCATTGATTGCCAGTGACTTTACTTGGCGCTACACTCTGGTGCTAATGGTACAATGGATGTCTGATGGTTGTATGTAGGCACGTAGTTACTTTCAAATGTCACCTATTGAATTTTCGCTATAATCGGGTTTTGTAGTCAAGTACTCGAGTAAATATTTTTCAACAGTTGCCAATTTATTTTCACAATTAATGTGATTTGAATTGTTTGATTGCATAAAAAATATAATATTATTAATTTATAATATACATGTAGGTAAGCAGTGAACACATTTTTTGGTAAACCTAAAAAGATGAGGGAGCGGAGCTACTATGCTAAGGGCGGTTATGTAAAAATCCCCAAATTCAGTAGGTTTTCATCAAAAACTGGACAGTACTGAACTATCTCAGGAAAGTAGACTATAGAACTGCTACAAGATACTCACTTCCCTGGAAACACGCAGATTCCTATGAGTTAAACTCATCTGTCAACGGCTATCGATCTACCTTTTACGAACGAAATGGTAATCAGTACGATAAAACCTTCAGCCCATATCAAGCACCTACGCTGGACAGCTTACATTCCCAGAGCAGGGAAAGTCCCATCATAGTGAACTATTATTCTCGAACCAATGATAAGAGGCTACTCTCAAATGATCAGCATGCCTATCAGAAGAGAAAATTGACAGAAATAGCACTTCTTGGACTAGTTGCCTTCTTTGAGAAAACTTTCTGAAATTCAGAACTCTGTCGTACCTGCTTATGTGGAGAGTGGTTTGTATCAACCACCTGCTACTAAGCAGCGTTATAGCCGCTAATCATGAAGGATAGCAAGTATCCAGATATATAAGAAGAGGCACAGCCACAGGGCGAAGTTCGCTACTCATTATCCTGGAACCTCACAGTAAACGTAAACGGAATTGGGTGGAGGCAAAGAAATATTATTACTTCTGCATGTTTCGTGTTTTCACGAACCCTTTGTGACTTGGTGCAGCGTATTCCTAGGCTGCTCGATGTGGTCTTTAACACCGAGTAAACAAAATAAAACTATCTACTCGGAGATATAAAATCCTCGCCAGTATTTCACTTAGCCTGGGGCTAAGGCCAAGTTTCTTAGAGTCATCTTAGACAAGAAAACTAAACTGAGTTGATAATAAATATTATCAACATGCCGCTTGTGCCCTCTTTACATGCAAAAGAAGGAAAGGTCTAAACCCCAAGATTTGCCAATGGATCTGCGTATTAGTAGTAAGACCAACGCTACTTTACGGGGCGATTGTGTTGTGGCCAGTTTTATATACAACTTCAAATACTAGATTGGTGAATCAGATTAAAAGTTGGGAGTTAATGTGTATCAGAAGTGCACTGAGAAGCACGCCAATCAATCAATCTGAATCTCTTGCCAATAGAATTGGTGATATACCAATTGGCAGCAATAACCGCACTTTGTTTAAGAAAGTGAAATCAAGCTATTGGGACATTAGAAAATATATACGATTCATGCCAAGATGTACAGATCGATGGGGTGCAATTACATTTACTTCAGAACACGAATTCCCAACAATGAATAGATAATTACCACACTATTTGCTTTAATTTGATTTTATTTTGTTTTATTTTAGTCTATTTAATATGGTTAGTATACTTTTTTTACACAGTTATACCCTTGAAAATTCATATTCAGATTTTTTCCTGAGAACAACGCTTTGGTGCATGGAAGAAACGTTCTGGCAATGGAAAACTACTACTTATCACTTCAATTGTGACAGTTTCATTTGTGCAAGGCAAATCTACTTCAGCAGATGACAACTGGGCCGTGTATTCACCATTTTCTATATCCTCCTCACCCAAAACCGTGGGTAGCAATTGATTAATTAAATCTTTTTTAAATGCTTGTACGCCTGGTGTATTGGGTATTACACTCTCCTTTGATTGATTAGCCGTATAAACTTTAGTTTCATTGCTGTTATTCAATGGAAGTGCGAGAGTTGTGGTCTGAAAATTAATAAAATAAATAAACATGTGTGTTCAAACTTATTTTATAAACTAAATTAAATATATAAATATGTATTATACATAAAAAATTTACCTGCAATGCCAGAATCGGGCTGAGCAATAAAAATAGCTTAGTGTTGCGGTTCATTTCAATTACTAAAAAATAAACTGCCTTCTTCGTTGCGAAACCGTAACTGAAACGTTTATATTTGCTTTAGCAATTTTATATTGATTTTGACAATAAATACTAAGAAAACGGAAATTATCAATGTTGTTAACTTTGTGAGTTCTCATTAATCTAATGAGAACCGATTGAACCGCTGCTTCCCTAATCAAATCAATCCATCTTTAAGCATCTTTAAAGTAAATTCTCAGAAACGGCGAGAAATTTATTGAAATTGCACTGAGCTAACGCCGGCTAATTACTGAGAAATATTTATTTATAATGATGATCCAATTTCAAAAACCAAAATGTGTACTAGAACTTTAGTATATACTCGTATGTTGACTCGACTTCTATTTCTTCGGCTTAGTTCCTCAATATCGAACTTATTAACTTATTACGTTTAAATAAATAAAAACGTCAGTTTTTGCGATATTTTTTGAGTAAAAACTAAACTATGATAACTCCAATGGTTTTTATTGAAGCAAGTAAATATCAGAAACATCATCAAAGTAAGTTTAACATTGTCAGATACTTAAAGACTTTTATGCCATAATTGTCTTTACGCCTGTTTTAAAGATAATGATCCTAAGTTAGGGATTAAAAAATTGTTAGATGGAATCTAAGCCAATTAAGAATAATGCGTATGAATAGTTGAAGGTCGCCAGCTTAGTTTTAATCTATGAAAAATTTAGTTAAATTAAAAATGCTTTTTAGATAGTGATTAATTTATGACAAACTAATAGTTTCGTCTTTAACTCCATTATAGAATAATAATATTTTTCGTTTATTAAAATTACTAATTGTAGTTGATAAGATTTTGAGCTAACAGTTACTAGACATTTTTGCATTTATAAATAAGTAAATTGATGATCTAGTTCCTTTTTTATTAAAGTAATAACTCGAACATTTACAATTTAACCAATAAAAATAAAATCTGCTTTCGAAATACCCTTTACATCCGGTCACTTATTTATATATATTAGTTTTTAAAAATACCCACCTACTACGTTTAGATTTTCCTACTAAACAAATTTTTAGTATTTGTAGCTTCGATCAGCTTTTCAAACACATTTGTTTATACGTGTAGACTTTCCAATTCCTCAAAATGCTACTTCAATTAACAAACAGTGTGGCTAATAGAAGACATAATGGGGATATTCTCTTAGTCTAGAAATTCCATGCTATGCAAATAATTCCTACCAAAATTTACTATAGAGGGGAGATCTTCTGTTGGATGATATCTGCAAATTCTACTCAGACAGTTGTTTGTTGATCAGTTAACACAGAATTGCTATTTTCTTCTTAAAAAACAGTGGGAAATAAATGCACATGGGCTTAGGTATAGCATATTTTTTCCATATATTTTGTATTTGTGCCATTGCACGGATTGGAAATCCTCTGCTTTCGCAAGTTTAATAGAGATTATAGCAAGCGACCGGTAGTCTAAATATACAAAGTCCTGAATGACTACCGGTTCAATCCAAAGTCGCGTATAGCGTAGCTTTAGGCCCATATTACCATTGGGAATATTATTTCTCCCGCCAAGTGGCCCAGGAGTCGATTCGGTGGTTAGGTTTCATATGGAATATAGGTAGGTGGTTCGTTATAAAGGTAATTTTGCGGAAAAGTTTTTAGAAAAATCGTGTTCAGAGTTCGATTTGCTTCACATCTCGAACATAGATAACATTTTGACTACCAAATATGCCGAAAACCTTTCTATCTTTCCCATATACTATAGCAAGGTAGCTTATAAATTATAATGAAAGAAATAAAAATCTTTCTAAAACTACCTTAGAACGGGATAACTCTAGTCTATGAAATAATGGGTGGCCTCATTTTGAAAGTGAATAAGTGCAGTGTAAATAACTGCGGCATTTTCTTGAACTATTTTGTTAATTTCACAATTTTTTCGGGAAATCACCTGTGGGAAAAAAATTCTTTAAACGGTAATGAAATTCACCAAATTTCACTTAATTTTTTCCCAAAGTCTTCAAAAGTTTTTAATGATTTGTACTTCCTTAGGGACAGAGTCTGGTTTGACCAACATGCAAATTTATACTATATTATTTTTTCTAATTGCCGTCTTTATTCATCAAAACCGAAAATCGCTTAAGCAAATTGAAAACTATATATGTAATGAAAGTTGCATTTTAATGTGACAAGTGACGGAGATATGGGAGATGGAGATCTTATGACAGTCTTTTAAAGTGCTGAAAGTAAAATTGCAGATTGGAACCACTTAGAATTAAACTTCATTGCGTGAAAAAATTGGGTAAATTTATTGTTGTATTTCACTTTTCTTTTTTTCAACATATGCCGGATTAATATTACCAAATTGGATAAGTAAGGATTCTTAGCCACAACTGTAGTGTCATTTGTGAAAAAGTGAATTTCAAAAAAACATTGTATATTTTAAATTTTACTCTCTCTTTATTTTTTCTATGCACCCTTATATATTAAGTTAGTATTTATTTAAATTATTAATGAGTAAAACACAAAAGTGGTTACTAATATTATTAAGAGCTTGCACAAACTGCATGTAGCAAGCTATTAAGTACATTTAGTTAACAAATTACGAAACCAAAATTTTTTAAGGAAATACAACTTAAGCATATTATGAATAAAATTACATATATGTTTATTAAAATTCAATGAAAGACTTCATTTAGTTCGCGTTTTCTAAGAATTTCAAATATGTATATATGGTTCACTATATTCTAAGGAGTATATTATTTTTTTTAAATATTGTTGTTATTTAAATTAGGTAATTTCTGATAAGAATAATATTGTTAGTCATCGCAATATGCATGTGTACTAATACGAGTATGCATTATATGTGCTAATACACTAAATTTCCAGAACTATATTTTTCTTACTTTATGTTCACTTTTTGGATTAAAAACTAAACAACTGCATTTACTGTTTCATCCCACGAGTATTGCGGTCGCAATTCTCTTCTGTTCGACAAATTGTCATTGCGTTGCAATTCCACTTGTTTACAACCACAAATACGCACGTTTGGCCAAAACATATATTTACAAATTGTGGCGAGTACAAAACATAAAGAAATGGCAGCGCATAACACAGCCCAATGTTCTCTTTTCAAAGGTAAATAATCTCCATTGCCTGTGCGCGCTCTCTCTGTTGCTGCCGTTGCGCTCTCCACCTGCGTTGGCCGCAACGTGATCACTTCTGGCTCATTGAACTCTTCTAGTGGATATGTTGAAACGCACTGAGTTATAATTTGCACATTATTTTCAAATTGAAATGAGGTAGCATGCGAGAAAGTTTGCGTGAAATGCAAAAAGGTTGTGAAAACCAAAATATTATGTAGTGAGCGTCTTACATTCGCATTTAAGTAGGTATATACATATGTAGTTGTTTACTTATGTATAACCTCTTGTTACCCTATACTGGTTATGAATATTAACTGCATATTTCATGCAAAAAGACAATACCCTGCAGGAAATTTAAGTTTTTTATTGACATTGGTATATATTTATTGAATCTGCTTCGAAATGGTAAGCCTCACAAAAAGTAATAAAATCTTAAACTAAAATAAGCAGAAATGGGCAGCGAGCGTATCGTTTCTCTTACCTTCCGGCAGAAACCACGGTGTTACGCTGGTTAAAATCTATTTAGCGTAATTGAGATCCCTGCGAATGTTTTCAAGCCGTATGAACCACAGTGTATCCAGAACTGGATTCTATACGATGATGAGTTGTTGGGAAGGATGTTGTTGTTCAAACCGACTCCACTCTGACAGATTTGAATTTAATCTATAATATTTGTCCGGAACTGTGTCACCTCCAGGCAAAGCACCTACTTTTTTTGTTAGTGGAATCGAGACATTGTTGAGATTAAGAGCAGGGCATGTTTACGGCTTTAATGTAAAACTAAATTAACTTTCATACGCCATTTTTTATAACTTGAAGATGTTGTTCAAACTCTGCTTTGATTGTACATTATGTCAGGATAATAACACTGAATTATTATAGCAGTATCATCCGCAAAAATTGTCGTCGTTACTTTGTCACAGGTACGAAATCAGCGGTGAACAATATATACAAACTTTGTCCAACTATACTATTTTGCGGAAGACCTGCATTGTTTAGAAACAGTTGGATTTATTTAGTATTGTAGTTATTCGTGAGAAAAGTCCATAATTTGTAGAAATGTTTGGGTGTAATATTAAGAGGGTCTGCATTTTTGTTTACCGTTGTGGCTTAGGAGCCGTAACGCAGTCTAAACGGGGCTTCAGTATCTACTGCCGGCTTAAGGTTGTTCTTAGTTTTCAAAAGCGATTTTTAATTTAATGCATTGGGAGACAAACAAATTAAAGAGTTTTCACAGCTTTTTCTTCGTACTGTCTTAATGCCAGATTTGGAATTTTTAATATTATACATATATACAAGGTGCGTTCCAAAACAAACAGGACTTTTTGAATCCAGCGCCCTCTATTGGCGCCAACTATACCTCGACTAGTTCGTTAGTGTCAGTATGTTTTTGTCATCAATGCGAAAATGAGCTTCGAACAAAAAGCCAACATTAAATTTTGTTTTAAAATTGGTAAAACTTTTACCGGAACGTTCCAAATGATGAAACAGGTTTATGGCGACGATTACCTATCCCGTAGCAGTGTGCACAGTGGTTCGAGTGTGAGGACATAAATGACGATGAACATGTGGGCCAACCGAAATCCGTGATCACCGAAAATTTAATTGAAACAGTGCATACAGGCGGCCGCACCGGGCAACGAGCTAAAACACTGCAAAAAGCGGTATTAAAGCAGAAGGAGACTATTTTGAATAAAATTAATTCATTTCGCCTATAAAATCATTTATTCTATACGAACGTTTAATTCTGGGTTTTGAGGTATTTTAAAATGTTCATCTCGACCATAAACTGAAATTTTATACCGACAATTTTTGCGCGATTATTTTTTAAAACTTTTTACGTTTATTAAATCAGCGACAGGGTATCGATTAACTTAAATCAATTTGTGGTGATGAAGCTCGATTAAGTACCAGTACCAGTACC